CTCTCTCTCTCTCTCTCTCTCTCTCTCTCTATCAGCTCACATCGCGGCGAATAAGCGTCGAATAATGACTGAACCCCCGTGGTTGAGACCAGGTTACACCGAGACACTCGACGAAAAAAGTGGGAAAAGATCGATTCATTGAAAAGAAGCGCGATACACGTCTTACAATGCGCATCGACACATTAGGGACAACGATTACAATCCTATCGTATATGAAGTATACTCGCCTAAAGTCGAATTGATATCGGTGATTAATGACCTCAGTAAATTCCGTCAATATAATATCACAACACAATCAATCCCCGCGCAATTTCGTTCACTTGATCTCGTAGGCGTCCAGGTTACCCTTGCGCCTCCTGTAGACAGCCGGTTGTTGCTGCTGCTGCTGCTGCTGCTGGTCGTTCGTGTGATTCCCTTGGACGATCGAACGTTTCACGTTCGCCCGGTACTCGTCCTCGTACGCGTGCAGATACAAGTTCTTTAAAAAGATTTGATTATCCAGCTCGGACGGTGGCAGGAATCGTTTGGAGCGGCTCTGCTGCTGAGCCTCGAGCTCCTTGAACGTGAACAGCCTGGTCTTCTCGTCGTCGTAGGCCGTGAACCTCTTGGAAACCCTCGGCTTCTTCTCGCTCCTCCACGACGACGAGCCGACAACGTTGTCGGCGCTCCTCTTGTTGTTGCTGTTGTTGTCGGTGGCGCTGATCGGCAGCCCGTTCAGGGACAGCAGCCTTCTCTTCTGACGCGGAGGGCCACTGTTGTCCTCGGACGCGTTTCGTATTCGCTTGCTGCGGTGCTTTGGCACTCCTTCTTTGGCCGGGATCTCGTTGTCCAGCATCGAGGACTCGTTACTGGCCATCGTCGAAGATCGATTATCGCGCGCCTCGATCTCCCGCGGCGTCGCCAGCGTCGTGCTCGTGCTCGTGCTCGTGCTCGTGCTGCTTGTGCTCGACGTCGTGCTCGACGACGTTGTCACTGTGTTGCTGCTGCTGCTGCTGCTGTTCCCACTATTACTGGCTATGGTCGCGATTGTGCTCGTGAAGGAGGAAGACGCGGTCGTCGACGCGGCCTCTGCCTGCCTCTGCGTGTCTTCCGTGCTGTTCAATTTAGCCTCTATGATATGTTTGAAGAACGCGTACATCTCACCTACTGTGAACGTCGTGCCGTTTCGCACGGTGAACTTGTCGATCTTCATGTTCTTGATCAGCTCCTCGGTGGCGTTTCGGGCCTCCAGCATCGACAACTTCTCGGTCACGTAACTGTTGACGAACTCGTAGAATCCTTTGTAATAGTTCTTGCGATGCTTCTTCTTGTCCTTCGGCTTTTTCCCCTTCTCGCCGTGAGACTGGCCTTTCTTCTTCGAGTCCTTTCGATTCTGCTTCTCGTTCCAGCGCATCGATTTGTTGTAGAATCGCATGATCCTTTCGAACTCTCGCTTCAGCTTGATGAACTCCCGCTGGTTTCGAATCTCGAACTCTGAACGACTCCTGCCGGAATTGTTCCTCCGCGACTCGGACAGATCCACGTGGAAGAAGTTCTTGCTCATGGTGTTCAGAAGATCGTGCATGCTGCTGTTGGTGGAATTGTTGGACTGCCTGGCGTCGATCCGCTGCAGCTTGCGATAGACGATCTTCAGGAAGTCGATCATCTTCTCTTCGCGAAGACGCGATCTGTTCCCGTGGCCCGAATGCTTCTTCCACGACAGAGCCTCGGTGCTGTTGTCGTGACGGCTGGAATTCCCGTTCTTCCCCTCGATCTTGTGCTTCGAGTGTTCCTTGCTCTTGTTCATCTCCAGGTGCAGCAGCTTCTTGCCGATCTTGCGGAAGAACTCGATGAACTTTCTGAAACCAGATTCGATTCGACTTCCACGGAACATTTCCTAGCCGATTATAGCACTTCAAATATCTCAAAAATCGAAGAAGAAACAAAAAGTTGTGGAAAATTTTCGTACGTCGTCTACGAATGTAATGTTCAATGTATGATCGATATAACCTCGAGTGTCGCCTCGACAGTTCATTCGCGTGCTACAAGTATCTGCTGCGATTTACTCACCTGTAATTCATAGTAAGATCCTCCTCGCTGACAGATCGTCGACGCCGGCTCCATCTGAGCCTGGGATGCTGTCCAGGAATGCACTTGGGCAGCTCTTTCGGTTTCCAGTTTCCACTGATACAGGTGGCCCCTGTGGGTCCCTCGTCCAGAACGTATCCCTTCTCGCAGTCGTACATGATCTGCTTGTTGTTCACAACCTTCCTCACGTACGGCCTGTAATCGTAGACGCCCATGTTGCCCATGAGGAAGACCTTGCCGTTCTCGATGAAACCGGGGAAAGGGCAGAACACTTGGATGCAGTGAGGAATGTCACCGATCCAATCCCCGTACTGGCATTCCACCGACTTGGAGGCGTTCTGCGGCCCACCGCCGACAATCTCGAAGCCGTCCTTGCATTTGAATATCGCCTTCATGCCGTGGTCGGTCTTCGGCGCGATCACCATCCCGTTTTTCGGCGGCTTCGGCATCTGCTTGCACCTGGCCGGCGAGCAACTCGGCACTATCGACCACGTGCCGTTGTTGCACACCACCGGCGTGCTGTTCGCCGCGAATTCGTAATTCTCCTCGCAGTAGACCAGCAGCCTGTCGCCGTGCTCCACCACCGACACGTTGTTGATGTGATCCTTGTCGTGGCTGGCCACCGTGATGTTCCCGTTCTCGATCTGAGGCACGACGCACGACGAGAGACACTGCGGCAACGGGTACCGCCATTTCCCGTCGATCTGACAAACCGACGAGGTGTTCCCCTCGAGCTTCATGTGGTCGTTGCAGCGGAAAATTATGCTGGCACCCAGGCCCGTACCTGTTGGAACGACCGCGCGAACAGGTCAGTCGAACGAGCGACGAGCTTCCGGAGCGGTTTGCATATTCCGGTTTGCATTTTCCACCGATATTTCTCTGTTTCACGTTTCCAAATGATTCTACACGAGGGAAGCTTTGTTTAAAAGCTCTACTACTTTAAAGACGACACACTTTGAAATCGATTCGAAAAAGAAGAAGAAGAAGAAAAAAAAGATCTTTTCCACGATAGTCTCCGACTTCAATCTTACGTTCTCGTAAACTTCTGCTATCGTTTATTCTCGTAACGCCGCGATTATTAATAAACGCATGGAGGAATGCAGATCGGTCTCGCATCGTGCGACTCACCCGCCTCGATATTCTCAATCCAGCCGTTGTACAAAACACCAGGTGAACTGCAATTAATCTCCTGGCAGATAGGTGTCTTTCCGGCCCATTTTCTATCTGCCCCGCAACGCCTGGTCGTCGCGCCGAACACCGTGTACCCGTACTTGCACTCGTACGACACGATGGAATTGTACGCGTACGAAGTGTACACCGCGTTCCCGTTCACTGGATTCTCCGGTTTCGGGCATTCCACCGTCGTAACCTGAAACAGAAACGTTTTCCTGCTTCGAAACGCATGCATATCTACACACCATCACGTATACTTGCTTTCTCGATTTCAGTTATCTGCTGCTAATTTCTTTTCTCTCTCTCTCTTCTTTTCCTTTCTCTTGTCGGAAATTATTAGAATTTGATTACATTCTTTAATTGAAATTTCTTTACGAGAAGAAAAAAAAATATGGGCGAGTTCGTGTCGTTTGTCGTTGACGAACGCTTACTTGGACACACTGCGGTGAATCCTTGGGCGTCCATGTGCCGTCTGCCAAGCACAGTTTCTCCGCCTTGCCGATTAATTCGTAGCTATCGGCGCAGTGATACGACACGCGACAGTCGTACGTGTAACATTCACCTTGAACAGAAAGCAGACCGATCGAGCAATCGCGCGTGAGAGGTTCCCTAGAATCGACGCGACGACGAGTCTTCGCAGCGATGTGAAAGCGGCGAATAGAAGATAATTCGATAAATTAATGAAATATTCGAAGAAACTACGAATTACTTTTCACGAAGTTTGTGGTTCTAATTATTAGAACAAGGATGAATTGTACCTGGTTAACTATGAATTATTAATTAGGATTAAGGAGAAGCGAGAAGAAACCAGCGTTCATCGTCGAAGAAGTAAGAGTCGAGGAAAGAGTACGTACCGGCGTGCCAGCCGTTGGCGATATCGGCGGGAGGTCCGCACATTTGCGGCTCGCAGACGATGTCGGGGCCGAACCAACTAGCGACGCCTTCCATCAACAGGCACCTCGCCTTCCTGATACCGGCGGTCACGTAGCCGTGGTTGCAAAAGTATTGAATCTCGTGGTCCAAGTCGAAGGTGGTCTGCTCGGGGAGCGCGTTGTGCCGCGCGTTCTTCACCTTGGGCGGCTGGGAGCAGAAGGACTTCGAGTCCTTCTTGCAGGAGGGCGTCGTGCCGGTCCATTTGCCGTCGGCCCTGCACGTCCGCTCGGTCAGCCCGACGATGAAATAGTCAGGATCGCAGGTGTAATGGGCCCGATCGCCGAAAAATCTGCCAGTGACGGTCATCACGCCGTACTGGATCTCGGTGAGGGCCGGGCATTCCCTCTCGGGCTTGATGCAAGACATCCCGCAAACACCGTCGCATCTGCACTTCTTCTTCTTGCTCTTGCAATCCTCGTCGGTGGAGCACTTACGCAGACACTTCTGACCGAGCAACTCCGTCTGTCCCTCGTCCCTCGGACACACCGCCGACGGGGAATTCCTCGGGTTCTTGTATATACGGCCGTCGTCGTCCACCTCGGGCTTCGTCTGGTAACTCTGCTCGTCGGTGTCGTCGTCCTCGTCGTCCTCGTCGTCCCAGTCATCGTCGTCGTCATCGTCGTCGTCGTCGGCCGCCTGCTGGCCGAGCCTCGCTTCCGACGTCAGGAAAAATATGCAGAGCAGCAAAAGGTGCAACAGAAGGAACCCACCGGGTCTCATCGTATCGGGCGTCTGTCCGCTACTGATCGACCACTCGTTCGCTTGCTCAGTCGCGAACGCGATTCCCGCACCGAGTTGTTTTCGACTCGAGAACCACCGAGAGACTCTCGCACACTCGAGACTCGACTCGACTCGACTCGACTCGACTCGCGTCTGTAACACTCGCGCAACACTCGCGACGACGCAACGACGCAGCGATCGCTCGTTGACGGGGACCGATTTTATATATATATAGATATAGATATAGATATAGATATAGATATAGATATAGATATAGATAGATAGACGCGGCGCAATGTCCGCAAAATTGGAAAAAACGACAAATTCACCAGTAACGACGAGCAAAACGGGACGCGACGCGGCGGTCCATTGAACGGCAGAACTACGTTGCGGAAGCTCCGCTTAAAGTAGCAGCAGCAGCAGCGGTCTCATCCCGCGAGGCTGACGCGCGCACGAGGACGACGCCGAGTTTCTCTCGCGACCGTGACTATTAATCGAGTCTGCCTCTTCGGCGTCCAGGAGGATTAGGACGGCCTCTCCTGTCTCTGTCCCGCACGCCGCCTCACCGTTCCCCCTAACACCGTGGCAATTTTTTTCTTTATTGTGCGGACTGCGGCCCCGTGCTGCCGGGAATTCGCGGATACTCGCGCATCTCTGCACGCGCATTCGGCCTGTTCAATACATCTCCTCACTCGTGCAGCCTCCAGCAGATGGCGAGGGACAGGGGAGAAAGCTCCCCGAGTTGCGCAGAAACCTGCCCCGTTCTCTCCCGTCACCCCTTCTCTCTGTCGCCGACCACCCCCTTCCGCCGCCCCACTCTTCAACCCTCCTCCTTTCCACGCCGTTATACACGCTCGTAACGGGGGTGGCTTCGCCGCCGTTTCATACACGGTAACAACCGGCAACATGATTCATTCGTCGCGCGTCTGCAATCGTATCCTCTGATCAAGACGAATTTTCCTTCCTTTCTCCCTTTCTTCTTTTCCA